CACCACCACCACCACCACCACCAACAGCATCAAATACTCCAACAAATGCAACTTCAACTTCAACAGCAACAAATTCAAGGATCCTCTGGTGTAAGTAATCTCAATCCCCAAAACATGAATCTTGCTGTGATGACGGGGCAACAAAACCAAAATCAGCCGTTGATGGGCCAAAGCCAACAGTTCGGTGGAGGCAGGACTCTGATTGTACAAGGGCAGGCAAATATGCAACAGAATCAACTTCTGGGCCAGCTCATGATGAATCAAAAGCAACAGCAAAATGGAATCGGGTCCATCAGGAACCTTTCTTTTTCACAGATGGCGAGATACGCTGGTGGCAACCATGTAGGCTTTGGTGGTGATAAATCGACTGTGTTGGRTGCGCCAGGCGTTGCGGGTTCGAGCAGTTTTCTGAATCCATTGCCTGAATCTATCTTTTCAAAGGAYGGAAGTCGTCGAATGAAGGGGGGCGTCATCGAACCCTTCCCCGAAAAACTTCATCGGCTCTTGATGGAGGTGGAATCTATTGGTCGCACCGACGTCATCTCATTCGTAGCCAATGGTAGAGCCTTTGCCATTCACAAGGCCGATAATTTCTTCAAGGAGATCGTCCCTCTCTATTTTCGCCAGTCTCGTTTATCTTCCTTCAAACGGCAACTCAATCTCTATGGCTTCGAACTTATCAACACAGGACCCGCTAGAGGTGGTTATTACCATGAGATGTTTGTGAAAGAGAGGCCCGAGTTGTGCCGACAAATGCGCCGTGTCGCAATTAAAGTTTCTGGGGGAAAGGAGGCTGCGAAATCAAAGGCAGAAAAATCAATTGACRAGAGCGAATCGAGACCGAACGATGATGCGGTCGCTTCATACAAGAATCAAGAGAAAAAACCAAGAGAGGTTACTAAGGGAAATGCAGAAGGGTCAACGGCTATTGGGWAGGCCTCCCAGAAAGTAGAGGAGGGTGTCGCCAACGAAATTAGGAGCGCAAATGGAACTCRAGAGGACAGAGTGGTTGTTATCGACGGGGCTACGGAAAAGCCCGAACAGAATGACAAGAAGGCTTCCGACTAGAATTTCTAAAGATTCTTCTGATTCTTGGACAGAAATCTGAGAGAGTTTTACTATTGAACCGCATGAATGATATATCACTGTATTGGATTTTGTACATTGGAGATCATCGTTTTTGAATKTTTCGAAAAACGRTGAAGTGGTCAGAACGATGGGCAACAGCGACAATGACGCTAGAGTACAACTTGAAACGACTGAAACCATTTCTATATCTTTTATTACTATACAAGAAGCACACTAAATATAATACTTCATAAAAATCATTTGCATCTTTTGCATCTTTATCGAGAACACGCAACAAACGTAAACGCAACCACACATTTTTTTTTTCGCGCAGTTCCGAGATCTAGATTACAAGTCGATTTCATACACGAGCGGACCTTTTACGGCGCGACATAATGATGCCTCTGATTGCTCTTTCGGATGGATTGCGACGTGTTCTCCATCGCAACCCTTGCAGTCGTCGTTTTCATCGCTGCGGGAAGATACAATGCCATTCTTCTCATTGCGACAACAGCTATACCGTATAGCAAAGTCATAACCGGCTTGTGTGGGACTGGAATAAGCAACCTCGGTTTTGGTCACTTTCATTCCAAAGATGGCATGGCCGCGGGCGGCATCGACCAGCCGAGTGGCGATTCCTCGCTGCCGAGCCACGGGGTGGGTCCAGAGGAGGCCGATTCCCAATTTGGCTTCCACCGATGTGAGGGATCGTTCGTGGAGGCTGATCATTTCGTAGGCAGGAATTCGGCGGCTCAAGACCTGCACGGTGGCCACTCCGAGAATGCGCGATCGACCGGGTGCCGATGCTCTATGGATTTGACTGGTACTTAGGTATTTGCTGTTGTCACTTTCAATGTACAAGAAAACCATCTGATTCGCAATATGATTCAGTGTGGTCTCTTCATTGGTGCCCAGGTCTTTGGATATCATTTGAGCGAGYAGTGGCCATTGGGACGGTAGGTTTTTGTTGTGATTGCTTTTGCTGATTTCGGCATCATTAGTCGTGGTGACTGCAAAGCCTTCTGGATGTTGCTGTCGTTGCTTCGACCTGGCTCGGTTGTGACATTTGGTGCCCGGTCTCCACAAAACAACGGTTGCTGCACCGTTTCTCTTTCTCCCTTTCTCCCTTGCGGCCAATGCGTTCACTGATCCAGTGTCCGGTACRTATTTTCCGCCCTTTACATTGCCTCTGACGCAGGGGATCCCGTGTGTGTAGGCCTGGCAGAACTGCTTGTGCTGGAGTTCGTCCTCCGCAAYGCCGGGCATGTATAGCATCCCGCACTTGTCGCAAAGAATCTGCCCAAAACTCGACTGCCCACAATCGATATAGACTTGTGTTAAGGATTTGGCTTTGGGTTTTGAAGACTTTTGTGATCGTTTTTCTGTTGCTGTTTTTCCTATGCTTGGGTTGCRCTGGCGGCGGAAAGAGGAAGAACACGATGGTGCAGTTGGCAATGACGAAACCAACGAAGCTCTGTTTTCTTTTGAACACCAAAAGCCTCTGCTGTTACTTTTCGAATKGTCGTTATCGTTCTTTTGCAATCTTTTTTGGGGGGAAGATTGTGCAGCTTTCATTCTCTTCGCTTTGGCGAAGAACGACAGGAGAGAGCTCTGGCAGTGTTTTGGCTCGTTGTCTTCTCGAATAGAGCAAACTCTAGCTGATTGCCAATCAGAAAATTTGATTTCATCGAGTGGGCTATCGGAGGCTATTTTCGTAGTTGCAATTGGAGGCAATGRGATATTTCCAACAATAGCGCGACCCTCCTTTCCATGGTTGCTGTTACCGTTGGTGCAAAAGGCAGCACTTCGTTTTCGTTTTGTGGAACAACGTGTCATTTTGCTATCGCTCAARAGGCGTTAATGCCCAGTCTTATATTTATAGATTTTCGAATTCTAATTCTCGTTGTCACTTTGATGCGTTTGCTGCCATCGACAATCTTTCTTCGTCATTGCACTGAGGGGATGAGGTATGTTGGTGTCAAGATTTCGGATTTCGATGTTGTTTASTAACGCGCCAAAATAATTCTCGTTTAGTCTCGTTCGTTCGTTATCAAGTCAGTCAGTCATGGGGATTAGTACTTCGTACGAAGTACGAGTACGTACTTGTACTTCGTACTACATTACAGCACTTGAGTATTCAGTAAGTAGTTCAGTACAGTACCGTACTGCAGTACCTGTAGTCTTTTTCAGTAGGTACGTTACGTAGTAAGTACTGTATTTCCATGCTCAAAAGAAAACAAYGTGGTTTGAAGGTTTGTTTCCCCAGGGGTTATGACCCCTGCATTTCCCTACCGGTACCGTACRTACGGTGTCCGTTTCCGACTTCCAGTCGTTTCACCAATTTCAGTCACTGGTTCCTGTTTCTGTTCCGATCACCTTGACTGACATCGGCATGATTTTTCCCAAACGCGAAAGCTGTGAAAAAATTAAAAATAGTAGTTCGCCAGCCAATCGCAAACAGGCTTCACGGACCGGGCCGGGGAAACTCACAACTTCGGTCTCTGTGTGTGTCACTTTTCGTGGACATCCACTTTTGCCGAGTGCTGGAACACCGACAACTCATTTCAGCGAGACAAAGGAATACACACATACCACACCGGGACTCGAAGAAATAAA